ATTACATGGAGACTTCTGAGCTACAGAGAGATTAGTTCTAAGAGCAAGCCTGAGTAAGACATGCAAAACATTAGTGTTAACTTTCTTTTCTTCAACTTCACCAGTTCCTCATCATCTTATTATTACGTGAGTTGTACAAATGAGCACTTATCATTATTAAGCACAGATACAGGTACCTGTCCCTCTGCTATTTACAATCTATGTAGCCAGCATTGACAGAAGAAGTATTGTTGCACACATGGATTTGTCAGAAGCTTGGCATCTCCAAACAAAGTGGATTTTAAAGTACTTTAGCCCGACACTACTAAATGTATGGTAAAATCTGATCCCAGATCCTCCAGTGTTTTATCAGCACATGGGCCTTCCCAGTCCTCCAGCCTGGTATCAGTTTCTTCCCCAGCACTGTTAGCCAAAATGTCGTAATCAGGTTTGCATAAAATAAATTAATGCAGCACCTGTCACTGCATTAGGAAGCCAGTTCAGTGTGTAGGATGCTACATGATCTTTGCAATGACCACCTCATTTGACTGTTTCACTCGCTTTGACCCCCACAGCTTATAAATTAGATTCATGTTTGCAGTCTAAATAGGCATTTGACACATTCAGGTCATAATGGCTGACATGAATGGCTAAACAGTTCTAACTGTATGCCACGGGTACCTTCTAGGGAGCTGCATTAGCTGTGCTTTATATTTCAGTTCTGGATATGGGCAATAATTGTTGACTAGGATCTCAATTACACTAAATACAGCAATAAAAGTTCTGAACCCCTGATTCTCTGTGGTTTGTATAATTAATATTTGTGTGCTTTTCTCAAGTTAAGCCTGGCAGTTAGTCATAACTGAATATACTCATGCGTAGTACCTTCTTCTTGACAAATATAAAAGTTTGAAAATAATTTTATTTTTACAAATTAAAGGATCTGGATAAAATGACACAGATCCAGTTTAGTGGCAGTAAGTCAGACTGTGTGTGCATATGGAAGCATTCTCTGTGGGGATAGCAGATGGTATAAAAATGAAAAATATTTTTGATCGAGAGACAAATGTTATTTTAAAGAAGTTGTTCTTCTGGTGATGTGTTGTGAAAAAAGTTTTGTAGAGCAGCTTTGCAAAAGAACTCATGACTCCTTTTGGGCCTAAGCTGAGTAACTAAAGAGTGCAGCTTTGTTGGATGTGAGCTCTTCTGAAAACCTGTTTGTAATGAAGCCTCTGAATGCGAAAGATCCCACAAAAATCAGTGGAGCCTAGATAGCTGAATTGCAGTGCTTTTGCTTGTAAGAAAGTTTTAGATGCTGGGAGAGTGGGAAGTTCTGAATGTTCCAACTTCCCCAATCTAGTTTATTTTCCTTTCTTTTTAAATAAGAAAGAGGAAAATTAAAATGAAGCAAAAGTTCTTGTTTGGATTGATGTACTGAACTTCATTACAGGTTTGATTTGTAGATGTACTGAATTCATTACAGATTTGATTTGTAGAACTTGCAGTCTAGGCAGGCTAACCTAGTTGTGGAATGGACATTCTGACTCCCAGCTGCCTTAGGTGCACCTGAAGCCTTTATTGAGCATCAGTGGAAATCTGTCAGTCCTGTTAACAGGGCTATAAGCAACACTGGTAAAACTGGTGTTGTGTGTGGTTGGTTTTTTGAATGGTGGTTGTTGTTGGGTGCTTTTTTTGTTGGTTTGGTTTTTTTTTAAACAAAAACAGCCTCTCATGCATTTTAGTGGTAAACAGACTAAGAAATGTCTTGGCTTATCATGTAATGACTGTGCTCTTATTTCGCGGAGCATGTAAATGCATATATAACCCCAGGAAGATAATTCACTTGGAAACTAGGCAAGAGAATTAAATGAAAGCTTCTGGCTGAGAAACCTTTAAAAGTCTTCTTTTCTTAGAATACATCTTCCACATTTTCAGGAAGTCTCCAGTCCTCCAGTCCTCTTCTGAACTTTGTTTTGTTTGAAAATCCTATCCAGGTGATCCTATTGCTTTTCGTCACCTCACATAGAAAAAATTGACATGAGAATCTGACCCCAGCTTAAACAACAGTATACAACCCAATATAATAAAATACACCATCCAAGCTGAGCCTTAAAGACAGTTCACAGTATCTCAGTGTCTTGCTACCATTCCTTTCTGTGTTCTATTGTAATACATCTTTGTAAGACACTTGCTTACAAGGCAGTAGGTCCTCATCTTAAAGTCAGGCTAATAGGGTTGTATCACACCTTAATGGTTTTTCCAAATTATGCTGTGGTCTTGAAAAGCCTGGACACCAATTGTGATCTGAGAATGTAGGGCCCAATCTTAAAGTCAAGAGAAGGATTTTCCTTTACTTTAGTAGTTGTGGTTTAACCCCAGCCGGCACCTAAGCCCCACACAGCTGCTCGTTCACTCTCCCCCTGGTGGGATGGGGGAGAGAATCAGAAGAGTAAAAGTGAGAAAACTCATGGGTTAAGATAAAGACAGGTTATTAGGTAGAGCAAAAGCTGCGCATGCAAGCAAAGCAAACCAAGGAATTCATTCACCGCTTCCTACAGGCAGGCAGGTGTTCGGCCATCTCCAGGAAAGCAGGGCTCCGTCAGTGTAATGGCGGGTGACGTGGGAAGACAAACGCTATCACTCGGAAACATCCCCTCCTTTCCTTCTTCTTCCCCCAGCTTTACATGCTGAGCATGACTTATTTATGGTCTGGAATATCCCTCGGGTCAGTTGGGGTCAGCTGTCCTGGCTGTGTCCCCTCCCAACTCCTTGTGCCCCCCCCAGCCTGCTCGATGGTGGGGTAAGAGGCAGAAAAGGCCTTGGCTCTGTGTAAGCACTGCTCAGCAGTAACGAAAACATCCCTGTGTTATTAACACCATTTCCAGCACAAAATCCAAAACACAGCCCCATACTAGCTACTGTGAAGAAAACGAACTCTAGCCCAGCCAAAACCAGCACAGTAGTGTAGGCACGTAACTCAAATTCTGCTACATACACCTGTGTTCCATTGAAATCAGTTGGAGGTTGACACTTAAGAGGATCAGAATCTCAGCCCACAGCTGTATGACAAAATTCTGTTTAGGCTGCTTTACTGTACTAGTTAACAAATTCTTAGCAAGATCTCAGACCATAGTTACCAGGAGTTGACTGGGATTTGTACTTGAGGTAATAAGAAAGTTCTAGTATCTCAAGTCATGGGATATTGCACCAGTCTGTGCACTCTGCAGCATCTAACAAGATTGAACGCTTTGAAAAAATCTCAAAATCTCCAAGGTGCGTTAACATTGTTGGCTGGTGTTCTTAATTAAGTTTGGCTGAGTGTAAACATGTGCATGATAAACAGCAGACAAGTTCCAAGAAACTATTTTTGTTGATTTATCTTTAATTGATCATATGGTTTCTGTATTTTACATGAGATATATTTTTGCACTCTATAAGTAAATTATTCTAATTTGTGATGAAGCTATGGAATAAATAAGTAAAATCAAACTACCAGTTTGCTCTGTGTATGAAAAGCAGAGACAAATTGTTACTACATATATACACCCTGCCTCTTTCCTTTTCTGTTATGTTCTGTTATTTTTATACTTGCCTGCAGTATAAATTCTTCTTCAGTATCTATCTTCAGTCTTTCTGTCTGTCTGTCTTTTAAAAAAAATTTTTTCTTTATTTTATTCATAAAATTTTTGGCCAATCTGGTAGTTAGATATCTGCCTAGAATCAATTAAAACTTTTTCGTGGACTCTGTGTTGGGGGATTTCATTCTACTGCTGCTTCTTGGAAGCTACGTTTTTTAATTGAAGTAATCGGTGTCTGTGAAGCAGTTTCTTCTTGCTTTAGTTCCTGCAGCCAAAAATCACATAGTTCCTCGTGATTTTTTGCACACCCACATACGCATGAACCAACCAAAAAAAAAAAAAAAACCCCACTGTCGTGGTTTAACCCCAGCCAGCAACTAAGCACCACGCAGCCGCTCACTCACTCCCCCCCATCCAGTGGGATGGGGGAGAAAATCAGGAAAAGAAGTAAAATTCCTGGGTTGAGATAAGAACGATTTAATAGAACAGAAAAGAAGAGACTAATAATGATAATGATAACACTAATAAAATGACAACAGTAGTAATAAAAGGATTGAAATGTACAAATGATGCGCAGGGCAATTGCTCACCACCCGCCGACCGACACCCAGCCAGTCCCCAAGCAGCAAAAATCCCTGCCCCCCCACTTCCCAGTTCCTAAACTAGATGGGACGTCACGTGGTATGGAATACACTGTTGGCCAGTTTGGGTCAGGTGCCCTGGATGGGCATGAGAAGCTTAAAAATCCTTGACTGTAGTCTAAACACTACTGAGCAACAACTGAAAACATCAGTGTTATCAACATTCTTCACATACTGAACTCAAAACATAGCACTGTACCAGCTACTAGGAAGACAGCTAACTACATCCCAGCTGAAACCAGGACACCCACCAAAAAAATGCTTGGCTGATTTTTCTGGAATTATATTGGCAAACATTATGCAAAAAATTGGTGCTTTTCCCAGAAAAAACTGTTCTTACAGAAGCTGCAGGTTATAATGCAGCTGTAAAGTTCTAGGATCATACTTACTTTACGTAGTGCTTTTGCAATACGTTATCAGAATGTTATTTTTTCTGCAGCAAACAGAAAAAAACTGCAGAGCATTAAGCGTTTTATGCAATCTCAGTCAACCTCTCCATTATTGTGCAGAGTCTTCTGTTTATCACCTTCACAGTGGATGGGGATACGTTTATCTAACAGAAGTGGAAGACCCCTCCTAGGTGCATGAGGCCTGCGAGGACAAGTATGTGAAGATTGATACAGGTCCTGCATTGCCAGTGCTCAGTTTGCAGCTTTGGCTCTTGGGTTAGATAATTGTTGCCGCCTTGTGTTGCGGTCACTAGCACAAGGAAGACCTGTTCTTGGCGGATGTTTCTGGATATTCTACTAACTTTTGCTGCTGTTTGAAATTTAGCTGTCGTGTCTGTTGTCTGTTCTGACAGAGTGTAGACCTGGGCGACCACCACAAACCTGAGTTTAGAAGAGTTTTTAGTTCTTCCATCATTGAAAATGGGCATCAGTCTTCATCAGGTAGGAACAGGGCATGAAATGAAATAGCACTACTTGTAAAATACCTGATCCTGGCAGTCATAGAGCAGCTCTCACATGTTGGAAGCATTAGAATCTTGCTATGGTTTCAGCACGGATATTGTACTCTGGCACTGATACCATTAACTTTATTTCCTAATTAGGAGTTTAACTTTTAAACTTCAACTTTATTGTTAAGCATGCACTATGGTGTTTCATAAATTAGAGACTATTACTGTCACATTATCTTGGGGCACTAGTGATAATAAGGCCTGCTAATCTGGGTGCCATTGTAGCCTTGCATCCTGAAACATTTTGCAAATTACCTGTCTGCTTCCATCATCCTTCAGTGGAGGAAGGGCTTACTATCTCCATTTTAGAGAAAACTGAGGCACACAGCATTTGATAGAACCATAAAAAGAACAAGAATTCTGACTCCTAACCCATGGCAGGAGACTGGGGGGCTGGGGGCGGCACAGAGGAAGAGGAGGAGCCTGCCAAATGCAGATGCTAGTGGATTAACAATCTGAAGAAGTTGCTCTTGCTGAGATTCATGTAGGACAGGTGTGATCGCTGTAAGGATCACTTACACTAGGATTGTTTCTTCGGTGTGCTGTAAATGGTATAGTGTCCCACAGGTGGAATAATTCAAATGACTTGTAAAATAAAGTTTTTGCATGGAAATTGGTTTGTAACTTTGGTACAAATCTGCAAATAAATTTACTTACTCTCTCCTTTTTATTTACTAGGTCAGGCAAAAGCCTCCCATGAACTGACCTCTTCTCATACGTCAGACTCTTCCCCTGAAGCCCATGCCCCTGCAGTCACCCTACAGATGCCCCACCTTCCCGTTACTGCAGTAACCAGGATATCAGAGAAGTTTTCAGGAGAGACCATCTGTTCAACAGGAACAACTAATGTGTCTGCTGGCTTGCTGGGACAGAGCAAGAGCAAAAATGCGATGGCATTGAAAACTCCCAACCAGTCAGGTAAAAGACAAAAATAATTTGTTTGCTGAAGCTGTGTCCCATTTCTTTACTTCAGGAAGCTGGTGCTACAGGGATTGTTCTGTGACCTAGTGGTAATTATGAAACCTCACTTCTATGGCTACATATCCCATGGTGGGACACTCTGATTTAGAATTTTGTGGCTGCTAGGTGGAGCTTTAGGCTATAATGTCACATCTGCTGAGAATTTTTGCTGCCTAATACAGTTGAGTTTATAGTGCAGCCTATCTTCTAGCACAGTTGCTGAAAGAGTATCTCTTCAATATGGGCAGCTATTTTAATGAAATTTGCAGGAGTTTTTAGTGTTTTGAGACCTAAGGCCCCTTGAGAAGTTAGGCAGATATTTGGCTAATGGGTTCAACGGTCATTTGGAGGGAGGAATGACAGTCAGCAGACTGACACATATACACAAGTCAGAGTGATTGCAGAATCTTATTTATATCTAAATTAAGTTTAAAAAAAAAATCTCATTTCGTTCATATTGAAGTCATTAATCTTTGAGCTGTATTTCATATACGTTTAGTGATAGTGACACTTATACATCGGACTATATATATGGGTCAGAAATTACGGAGACAGACCAGATGGAATTGCCAGCAAGAGATAGGGATTATTTGCAGATTATTCGTTCAACTTTTATCTCAAGCTAAGAATGTAGCAAAGCCTTCCTTTGTCGTCTTTTCTGCTGTTTCAGTGAAGGCCTGGAATTCAAGTACGGTGAGAACAATGGGTTCATCTGCCACTGGAGGTGAGTGTTCCTATCAGCATGTCCTTATGCAACACAAATTGAGAGGGATTCCATGCTTCATGTCTGGGGGATTCAGATCTGAGCATGTAGTTCCGAGTAGTAGGTACACAGTAATATTAGAATTGCTAACAAGACTGTATGCAGATTCAGTTTCCCAGGTATCATAGAAGCTTGTTCCGCTGTATCAGATTCTCAATCAGTTCAAATCGAGGGGTACTTATCCTTATTTGCACAGTGGTGTACATGTGTGCTGTTAGGCAATCTCTGCAATGGAAACAATAGGTGCCAGAAAAGCGTGGCAGAACAGACAGTTTGAGTGGTGAAGATTTCAGCTGACCAAGTGAAAACTGTGACTGAATGCAAGGTAACAGCAGTTGGAAAGTGGTGGGCCCACCACATGAATGTTGAAGCAAGTTTCTTTGAGCAGAATAGCAGTAAAGTAGTCTCCTTCATATATGAATGTGTCAAAGGAAAAAATGCCTTAAGGATTTTTTATGTCAGTCGAAATAGATGAGTCAAGCTCCGTGAAAAGTACTTCTGATTGATGTCACCAAGCCGTTACTGTCTACACAATGTACTGGCATTTCATAGTGGTCTCAAGTATCAGTTTAGCAAAGATGTTGCTCTTCCAGAATAGGGATCACACTCCTCAGCTTAAAACCTCTGAGATTTTCACAAATAACTGGCAATTGTTTGTGGTCCCAAATTCGTCACATCTGTATGCTGGCATTTACTAGGGTGTTTTACGTGAGAAGTCTAATTGATGTGGATCCTGTCTATAAGCAGTGGGGAGAGTTCAGCATTTTCAGAGTGTGTTTTGGACAGTGATCAGGTTGGATTGCTTCTAAGATGCCAGACTTTCTTCTTTGTGTATAGAAGGAGCCTTCAATGAATGAGTTGCTGGCTTATGCAACAAGTTTTGGCTTTAGTGTGTTAAAACAGGGCAAGCCACTCCGTTGTTCCACATTTACAGAGCATAGCTGGAGTCCAGAGCTGGGCTCTAAGACGAAAAGCACAAAAGGTAGAACCTCAGGGGTGCAGGGAGGAAGATGCAAAGTTGGTTTTAAGCCACCTTTGCAACTTTTGGAGTCTGTTCTACTTTACAAACTAAAACATTTCCTGGTGGAAATGGGTAATTTAAATTATGCTCTCAGTCATGGCAGCTTTCCCAGGACTCCTTATGTCTGCCAGAATGACTGTTGCAAGCTGAGCTGTAGCACCGTTTCTTCCTTTCACTGAAATGTCCGTGGCAGTGTGCCCTCCGCTGAGGTCTGCACAAGGGCCTGAAATGATCCAACCTTCCCAATGCAGTTTTATCAAAGGCAATCTCTTTCGGCCCTTTCTGGTATGTTTACACCATCCTCGCTGCAGTGCAACAGTTTTGCAGAGGGATTGAACCCCTGGGGAAAATCCCTCCCTGGCTTGTTAGCTCATACTGGAAGTTAGACAGAGGCCTGCAGCTTTTCACTGTGGTGAGTAAAAATCAATGTGTGGTTATCTGTCAGGAAGTGGTTTGAAAATGTATGAGGAAAGGAGATAAAAGAAGTTCTGCCTTGATGTATCTTGTTTTTCCTGCTTTTATACAGAGAATACCACTTCTGTCACTAAGTCTGTCGCAACTGTGAGCTCTGGGACGAGTAGTGGAACCAAAACTGGTGAAAGGTATGCATTTTTCTTGACATTTTGTTAGGCCATTGTGGTCAATATAGTCTCAAGGGACAGGCGTTCTGCTGGCTTGGAGAACGGGTGAGTCCCAGATGCTGTATTTTAAGCCGTTAAAGGTTGTGAGCTTTCCTGAGGACTAGCTGGAACAGAGATGGGAAGGGATAAAGATCTTTTCTAGAGCAGTTTAAAGCAGACCTAGTTGTGGATTTCAGCATTCTTACAGTGTTAGTCAGTAAAACTCTCAGTGTCAGCGGTGGATTTTTGTTAGGAGGAGCAAGTTGTCAGGCCCTTTGAAAACACTTAAAAATACTCAGCTGTGTTGAAATTTGTACCTTGGGCTTATTTTTGGAAACCAACATATGACTGCCATCAAATATCCTTAGTTTGGCTAGCCTAGAATTTAGTTTGTAGATAAATGCCTTGCTGAGGACTGAGGACTACTACACATTCTTGATTAACTTGGAGTTGCAGTTGCTTAGTATAGGATTACATGGTGTCACAATTACTACTGGCATATCCAGGCATCCTCAGCATGCAAAATATCCATCAAGAAAAATGGGACGGCAGCCAATTTAAATCTCTTAAATTGGGCTTGCATCTGCCTTGAAAATTATCCCAAATTTGGCATAACATTTCTTCTGAGTTAGTTCCAACATCAGCACTTCGGTATTTGAATCAGGATACACTGAGCACCCTAGAGAACTTGCTGCCAGATCTGACCTCCATCTGTACCAGAAATTAATGTGTGACATTGATGTCGTTGCTCCTTGCCTCAGTTTCCCCATCTCTGTCATGGGGAACATTTCCAAATGCGATGTGTGGCTTACTTCATTAATGCTGATGAAGTGGTTCATGGTTCAAATAAAGACAAATTAGAATATAATCCTATATTTCTCGATCACATTACCAGCTTGCGATCAGTGAAGCAACACTGACATGAGCTCAGGATTCTGTGTACTATAAGTAAAAATTTCAAAAGTACTTCCTGAATTACTCAAGTTCCATTTTTAAAATGTGACTTACCCTCCAGGAACCCCAAAGTTGGAAATTAAAGGGATTTAGTGCTCTTGTGTGGCCACAACTTTTTTTTTTCGTTCTTTTTTTTCCTTTTTTCTTAAAGGCGTTTATTTACTGTTCTACTCAGTGCTACAAAGCATTTGTGACTTGTCCAGCTATGTCTCATTTGTAAAAGTACCTTAGACTCTTCTATACTTAAGTGCTGTTGTCTGTCAATAAAACTTTGACTTTTACTTAAATTGCTTTTGACTCATTCAGGTCCTCTTGAAATGGCTGGTTTGGGAGGTTTAGAGTAGGCAATGGTTGGACCTTTATGCTGACTTCTGGCACTGCAGAGAGTTACTTTTTTGTTTAACCATATACTTCTCACGTTATGTTTCTCCAGTGCCACTGACAGTTACTGTGATGTGACCTCCAGCTCTCACTCCTCTCCTCCCACTGTACATCGCCAAGTTGAAAGGAGGCGAGAACTCGTGCGGTCTCAGACACTCCCACGGATTACAGGAACACAGGCCAGGAAAGCACTTTTCGATAAATTTGAACACGATGGTGGAAAGTATGTCACACCCCTTGTCTCCAGAATGGGTTTGTTCATGGGAAACTAATTTCTCAATTTTTACCAGCAGAGGACAGCTGGGTGGGAGGACTCGCTCAATGTAGGATTTTGAGCTAAGGGACAATATGAGATCACATACAGCTTCACTGACTTCACAGTCTGAGCCCTGGAAATTCACAGCTACAGATTCCTCTGGCTTTGGAGTTGTTCAGCTGAAGCAGCAGGTGCTTTTTATCAGGAAAGAGTGCTGTGAAAGCTGCCTTCTCTGTCATTATAAGAGACTGGGAATATAGTGACTTTCTGTTGCGATTCATTAAGGACCGAAAGTGTGGACTGTTCTTTATGCACCATGATGGGGCTATGATTTAAATAGAATAGGGCTTGGAATCCTGGCTTTAGTGAAATGAAAATGAGTTTTTCTTGCAGGACCAGCAAGTTGAAGTTTCAGCAACGTGTTTCTCAAATATCACCTGGACAGGGGCTGACCTGGGCAAGGTTGCATAGGTGTTGCTGACAAGTAGGTTTAAGTTTTTCTAGAATGTAATTTAATCTGGTCTCTGTTAATTTTCCAGAGGAAAAGGAGAATCCAGAGCTAAGCTGAAGAGGTCGCAGAGTTTTGGGGTTGCCAGCGCTAGCAGCATTAAACAAATTCTGTTAGACTGGTGTCGCTCAAAAACCATAGGATACAAGGTGAAGACATGCTAGCACTTTCAGCTCTCTCTTTTTCAGGAGAATTTGCCAAAAAAGCGTACTCAGAAAGTGAATGTAAAACATGCTAGACAATGAGTTAACTTCCTCAAGGTCATCAAGTTTTGTGCGCGTAACACAAACATCATGGTTTGCATGGGTAGCACTTCAAGACAGTTATTGCATGAGTGAGATTCTGCATGTGTGTCAAAGCAATGCATTAGTGTTTGTCTGGAAGCCTACATTTTTGTGCTTATGGATATAGACTACAGTATACACTCACACATTTTTTTCTTAGTTGCAGGCTGTGATTTTTGCATTCTCATTATATATGGCAAGACCTGAATAACATTTTGCCAGTACGTGGAGACTATGGCCCTTTTGCTACACAGCAGACCAAAGTACTCTCTACTGGTATTAGACAAGTGAATTTGTAGCAAATGGTTGAGATTGAATCACACGGTGTTAGTGAGCTAATTTCTGTGAGGTTACATCAGTGTAGCTAAAAGAATTTGGCAGTTGAGATTTCAGTAATTTTACCTGGCCTTAAACTGCAACTGCCAAAGCACTTTCCAGGAGAAAGAACGGTTTTTTTTCCTAGGGTTTCTTTTTTGTGTAATATGTTTTTCAGCGTTACTGTAAAATGTGCATTATTATTGCTGAACTCTAAATTATAGTATACATAAGCAGAACTAGTGAAAATTACTGTTAGTTGCTTACCAGAAAAGCTGGGGCTTGAATTTTATATGATGGAAAAGCGGCATGAGACAAGAGCCCAAATATGTTTATTTTCACTGTGGCAGTTGAAAACAACAATAAGCATTTGTTCTAAGAATCAGGTTTTGCAGTAGGTGTAATTCTTCCTATATTTCTACCTATCTGTGTTCAAACAGGCATTGAATTGGGCCTTACCGAAAACCAAAGCAAGCAGCCATAGTCTTTATCTAGTGTTATTCACAGCCACAAAATGAACAGTTCTTCGATTATAAGTATTTCACAGGGATAAGCAGTGTCCTTAGTTTCCGCAGATACTGAGCTGGTGCATTAGGCCTGCTCCAGAGCTCACTGACATTGACAAGATTCTTCCCAGTATTTTCAGTGGGCTTTGGATCAGGGACCCTGACCGTGTGTCTGCTTTGCATCTAGGCATTTCAGGCAAAAGGCTTTCATTGCTGAGTGCTGTTTTTTTCTCAGAATACAAATAATGTAATGGATATACAGAGAGGAAGAAAAATGTAAAGCCTGTGCTCTGTAGCTTTGGTTAGTGGGAGTGAGGGACAGAAAACTGCAGTGAGCAAAAGCAGCTGCTCTTCCCTGTTCCCCTGTGCTGCATTAACATGCGTGTTTTTTTCATCATGACAGCACATTGATCTCCAGAACTTCTCCTCAAGCTGGAATGATGGGATGGCATTCTGTGCTCTTGTGCATTCTTTCTTTCCTGAAGCTTTTGATTATAATAAGCTTGACCCAGCTAATCGCAAGCAGAACTTTGAGCTGGCCTTCACCATGGCTGAGTGAGTATCACATTAGATCTCCATGAAGTGCTTCCAGTTCAAGTCTAATGCAGCTGGGCAGCAGTGAAGAGTTTAATCATTCTTCTTGTAGATCCTATATCACTAGCTTACATGTGTCATGCCAAAAAAGATAATAAAGGTCTGCATAGAGAATGCATAGAACAGGACGCTCGGGAGTCTAGAATCAGAGGTGATTTTACCAGGCACAGAATAATTTACTGGAGTCCTATGTTCAGGTCTTTCACAGTCTTCAGGCAGTACTTGAATTCTGCTTTCTTACCTCTGTGATTCTCACCAGCCTTAGCACTGACACACTAAACTTGAGAAATCAGCCTCGAGTTATGCTTGGACAGAAGAGGAAAAAACCCTACTTCTCTCTGTGTTTGTTTTTTGGTTTTTTTAATTATTTTTTTCTTGAAGTAATGAATGATTCTTAATGAATTTGCTGATATCAGTCATAAAAAAGAAATTTGAGTTCATAGAGCACAAGGCATCCAATGTTTGCTGACACTCCATAGGAACTGGACATACAACTTGTAGTTTCTTACCCAACCCCACCTGCTTGATACCTGATTTGAATTTGAGGCATGTTAATATATGCATCCAGCCTCTCTGCTAAAACCGTGACCCCTGACCAACAGGGAGCAGGTAGATTAACTTTTGGAATTGGATTTTGTGGTAGGGTTCACCTATGTCTGTACGTTGCTTTGGATGAACAAGAATGAAGGTTGAATTCAGTGTAAGTAGAGTTAGATCAAGGCTGAGAGCTTCTCAATATCTCAACATGGTAACTGCATTTTTGTAAAACAGACAGAGCTAATACCCTCAGTCACACTGTCCTGGTCCTTTTTGATGCAGTATACCAGGCACTTAAATGATACCTTGTTTGTTAAATTCATCACCAGTGTGAACTTGTCAGCTAGAAACAGTAACTTTTTTGACCCAGTGTCAACGTGATTCTTAATTGCTGTTTTGTTTCACTTGTGTAACAGTAAGAACACTCCATGTGGTATGCAGCTGGGTTTAGTACACTCTTTCTGAACACTAACAGGATGTGGGAATACACGGTTAAAGTTTCCTGCAGCTTCTGATACAGCTTCAAACAATGGTACCACCACACTGAAGCTCTGGGGTTCTTTCAGAGCACCTTTTTTTTTTTTTTTAATTAAAGCAATAACTTACAGAACTAGATTTGCCATTTGCCATTCCAGAGCAAAGCTTTAAAAATTCTTAGCATAACGTTGGCTCTCCTTATTAGACCCCCTAGCAAAGTAATTTATTTGGGAATTACAAGGTTTTTATACACACATATATATGTAAATATAAAAAATTTGTTGCTTGTCAGTGAGTTGAAAGAGATTCTACGACACTTTTAGGTGGTTGATCTCTAAAGTAGGAAAGTTGCAGTGTTCTTCTATCTCAGTTTATGTATAACAGTAAGTATAGGGGAGAACAGAAGACAGCATGCATACAACAGTAAGAAACATTAGCTAAGAGGTATCTACAGAAATTACTACTTCATAGCTGTGATTGCCTTTAAACTGTTTTCTTCTAGTGCCAGAAAAGCCAGTTATTGGTGTTCACCCCAGTATGAGCTCTGCTGATCTAATTGCTTCCTACTCTTGTGATTTTTCACCTTAGGCCTCAGCAGATCTGTCCCTTTCTGCTGGTCCAGATCTCAGTCAGGCTTCTGCTCTCCAACCTGATCATCTGAGATTGTTGTCCAAGTCACTCACAACTTGAAGATACAGGGGTGGTGGAGAACAAACAATCCAAAGCCACATGGGCCTTCATTGGCACATCTCATCTCTTCTCATGTTTTCCCATTCTTTTGGAGCTTCCTATATAATAACAACCAGAAAAACTCATGATTTTCAGACTCACATGACTCTGCTTACTGAGATTTGGGCAGAGGAGTGTGAGATTGGGCCACATGCTACAGATATCAGGGATGTGAGTGGCAGTCAGTGGAAAGAAAAACCCTAGAGGGCTTTGGATCAGATGGATTGTATCCCAGTATAGAGGAAGAGAGGGAAAGAACAGGAAAATTCCATGGTCACAAAAATAACAATCTCCAACCTGAGCCTGACCATTTCATTGTGAAATGAAATGTTGCTGATAAACCTCAGGATTTCTTAAGTGCCTCAGTGACGCTCAAATCAGAGCAGCAAATGAATCTTGGAAGTAGTTACAGGCCTTAGATTTTACTCTTGATTCGCTGTATCTGTTTATTATTACTACAGGAAGATGGCTCACTGCGATCGTCTGATAGAAGTGGATGACATGATGGTGATGGGTCGCAAGCCAGATCCCATGTGTGTCTTCACCTATGTGCAGTCTCTATACAACCATCTACGACACTTTGAGTAAAACCATTGACATCTCTCCAGCCAGAAGGGTCAAGTACAGCATGCTAATGGGAAGAGTGACATTTTGCAAATGGAACGCAGTGTTATTTCTTGCTTTTTACTGTCCCTTTGCTTACATTCAGCTGCGTGGCTGGCTGACTGAAGTGTTGCTGAGCAGCGCCCCGAAGTGTTGATCACATCAGCATGTCAGTAATATAGAAATACATTTGAAAAAGACAAAAAAACATAGGGAAAGGCAAATGCTGTCATTTTGGTGCTAGGAGTAGGTTGGATCTTTAATATTCTTGTGTTTAAAGATCACAGAAAGCTAATTTGCAGCTCCTGTCTCTCTTAGGCTGGGGACACGGGTTTATGCAGTGACAAATAACTGCTGCAAAGGTGTTCTCTCTTAAAATGCAGGTAAAACTCCAGAAGATAGCACCTTCGGTTCCACTTCTCCATTGAGCATAGCACAAAAGAAATAGCAGATGGACAAGGAAAATTCCATTTAGCAAATAATAACCTAGAGTACTCAAACCACTAGGGCAATATTGCCTCTTCTCCAACCCTAGCCCCCCCCCCTCCAGCATACATGCACACGCACACACACAAACATCAAACAGGTATTGTTCTGTTCTCTTAAAGCAGAAAGAGAACATAGCCTCCTACCTGCTGACTGGGGGAGACAGATAACTACCATGTTACACAACAGCATTTGTCTGTAATGGTCAAATCTAAAGGGGTTTGCTTAAAGGCTTGCTAAAGCCTCTACTGGCAGTCCTGGATTAATTTCTTGATCGTGAAGAATTGCAACAGCTGGGGCTGTTCAGTGTATGAGACTGTGTGTTTGCCTGATTTAGGATTACAGGAAAAGAGGGAGCTAGGAAGGTACCAAATCCTCTGAACAGTTGTAATAGAAGCAAGACTGTAGTGCGCTTTGACCTGGACTCTGGGGGAGAGCAACTCTCCAGTGTGGACAGGAATGAAGTCTTTACAACTTGCTCAGTCCTCATGCTGACTCCGACGGGGAGAGGGAATGTGTAAAAAAAGTATGAAAGATGTGGGAGTTTTGAAATGCCTCAGACTAGTTTCCATTTTCAGTTAAATTAGCGTTAAAACCACAATACAGTGTGATTATTCCAGATTTACTGGACAAAAAGGTCATGTGTCAACCTTCCTGGTTTTCTCTTTGATAAATCAACAGAGCTTTGTTTCCACAGTGAATGTTAAAAACAAAACCACTAAAAAAATGATATTTAAAAAAAAAAGAAGCCTTTTAAAATTATTTCTTCCCTAAGAACAGGCTCATAAAATTTAAAACTGAAAGCCACGAGCCCTCTGCTCATGCTAGAGAATGTTTTTTAACCTGCATTTGTGCTCTTTGTAGATATTTATAAAGATGACTTTGGTTCTGCATTGATGACCATTTATAATAAAATATGTCAAACACTCTTCAGATTTACTGCTTCTCTTTAGAATGAGGTGACAGATAACAAAGTAAAATCTGTGAAAAGAACCCAGAGGTTTTGCTTAGATTTTTGTTCTAGTCATGATGCTGTGTGCTCTGAATTTCAGTTTTAAAAAGTACAGAACTTCAGTGGCATTTGCAGTAGGATTTTAGTTCAGCTGCCCTTTCTAGTGAAGTTTACCTAAGAAACCATAAGTCAAGCAACCACTTTGTTAGCAGTCTCAGAAAAAAAAACGAACACCAAAAGTGTACAAAGGTAACGTATAAGTTAACTGCTGAAGGTCTGGATCCTCAAGTTCTATTTGGAGTGTAGCTAGGCTGTTGCTGTGACACTATGGAAACAGTTTGAAAGACTTTTAAATACACATCTTAATACAAAGTATCTGAAAGATACTTGGTCAAACTAGCAGGATCCTTGGTATTGCTAATCTCACAGCTTTAATGCAAGTGGACAGAGGTTGGGTGGGCTGTTCGTTATTTGTCATATGACTGCCATTGTCTTCAGTTTTTTTACTTCATCTTGAATGACCATAATTCTGAGGAGTAAGTGTGCAGCTGTTGCTCCACCAAATGCACTGTAAGGATAAACAGACTGCACTTGTGTTTTGGAGAAGTGATTAGAGTAAGCATAATGAGGAATCTGTCCACAACTGGCACACGTGATACACATACTTACATTCTTACAGCAGAACATTTTTCATTGACTGGCAGAGCCAAGTTCCATTGTAGCTACAACAAGAGGGGCAATACTGGCTTTATATGTCACATTCCTTCACAGTCCCAGGTCATGGATGATTCTCCTGTGTGATGTGAGTGCTAAAGACACAGGTAAGTGCTTGGCCAATTTAGGCCTAGTAACAAATAATTATATAAAGGAAGTTTTAGACAGTAAAATTATTGCAGATTCACCAGGGGGAATTTACATCCTTTCTGCAATGTAGCTTGTTTTCACAGCTACCCAGAAGCTATTTGTACAGGTTTTCTGAAGTTGTCCCACTTCAGAGAGGTAATGGTAAAGATAGCTGGTACTTGCCAGCAGACTGATTGCAGCGGGGTGAAAGACTATAAGCTGATTTTAACTGCTGGTGGTTCGCATGTAAGAAGATGAGGGAGATGGGGCTACGACATAATTTTAGAAAAACCTACAGCTTTGTGCTGATCTATATGACTATTTGACTATTCGATTGTATGATTAAATTGAATTAAAGTATGTAATGTATATGCCCTGCTGGATGTTTTAGTATTTTTAGTTTAAAAGAAAATGCAGAGTGTGTGTGTGTGTATATGACAGTAAATGTGTTTAGCATAAGTGATAAAAAGAACAATATATTAAGTTGGCATAGTATATGTTTTACACAGATGGACTGTTTCCTGGCTTTTCTAATGTTTCTGCACTGTATCTAAAATTCAGTACTGTCTAAGGTGGTTTATTGGCAACTTGATACTACTTTTAAAGGCTTGATGAATTTGTTCTGTGCAAATTTTCAAAATAATCTCAGCAGAGACATCACCTACTTCTTAAAATTATGTTTTCATATAGCAGAGAAGTCCTCTTCCTTGAAAGTACAGTAATTGGATAGATGCCTCTCATCACTTCTCCCTTTGTGTGACGTTTCCAATAAAGTGTTTAATCTAAGCATATGCTCAAACCAGTGCAAACTCGGATACATGTAATTAGGTATAACACTAGCCCACATGCTTCAGCCTGTGTAATTAATTTAAACCTGGCCTGGCTCACAGAGATAAAGTGTCCAAAATAGAAGTTGGCATTGCTTTATGTAAAGTGCACTTAAAAGCCACTTTTGCTTATGCTAAAATAGCTCTATGTCTAGATGGAACCTCAGTGGAGTTAACACAGACTCATAGAACGGTTTGGGTGGGAACGGACCTTTAAATGTCGTCTAGTCCAAGCTCCCTGCAATGAGCAGGGACATCTTCAACCAGATCAGGTTGCTCAGAGCCCCATCCAACCTGGCCTGGAATGTTTCCAGGGATGGGGGCATCTACCCCCTCTCGGGGCAACCTGTGCCAGTGTTTCACCACCCTCAGCATAAAAAATTTCTTCCTTATATCTCATCTAAATCTACCCTCTTTTAGTTTAAAACCATTACCCCTCGTCCTATCGCAACAGGCCCTACTAAAAAGTTTGTCGCCATCTTTCTTACAAGCCACCTTTAACTACTGAAAGGCTGCACTAAGGTGTCCCCAGAGCCTTCTCTTCTCCAGGCTGAACAACTCTTCAGCCTTTCCTCATAGGAGATTATTCTGGACGCTAGCAGAACACCAGAATTTAGACCCGTTAGGTTAGTCTGCTTTGCAACTTCAGCAACACTGAAAGCAAGCAGTTAACGATGCTGCAGTATCAGCTCAACCTAGAGACTTCTCCCACTGCAACGCACTGTCACAGCAGTTCGGTTGACAGTTTAATCCTCTGAAGAATGAGACAATCTGTGGCATTTTTAATGCGCCTCGGAAGGAACGTGGCAACACATTTAATTTAGATCTAGTCTCATTAATGCCGGTTGTTTAGATTCCTCCACAGAAAACGTGTTTTTCCAGACTCTGAGGACTTTGGCCACTTCTTCGTAAGTAACGAACCCAGCGCCTACATCCAGACACAATACACCAAGGTGAGGAACTGCTGCTTTGTCAAATCCTTTATAGAGGCGTTAGTACGGGATGTGGTAGGTGGGGAGCATTTCAGCAGCGCAGAAGTCGGTGTTAGCTTACCGGGCTCCCATACCGAGGAGGATTCGCCTTTTCATCCCGCCGTCGCTGTGATCTTACGCGCGGTGTGGGACCGGCGATGCACGTTGCCGCACACCCAGCAGAAACCATTCCGCAATTCTTCACTCGCCGACGGGGACGGTGCGGTTCGCGCCACGCCGCCGCCGCCGGGCGCGCGGGCCTGCGACCGTTGGCGGGAAGCGC